GGGGGGGGGGGGGGGGGGGGGGGGGGGGCAGGAACAGAGCACACGAGGCTCGGTATGCATGTCCGGGTCCCACCATCGCCTGGTGAGTCGTCGAGCGACGACGATATGCGTACCCACCCCGCGTACAGTAGCCTAGCCCTAGCCACCTAAGCTAGACTGACTGTGTCCGAGGTGCTACAATACATTAGAAGATTGTAGCTGTCAAGTCACTTCTTGGTGGACGCCAGCTTGGCCTGCCCCTGTCTCCAGATCTCCTGGAGGGGCTCCGCGGCCGCCCCCTCGAGCAGGCTACCGGGCTGGCAGGGGGGGAAGAGCTCGCCGTAGCTGGCGGAGTTCACGCCGTCCCTCCGGAGCTTGATCATACTCCTGGACAGCTCTGCGTTTGCATAAGATGGTAAGAGAAGTATGTAGCATATGGTTGGTTGTTGCTGCACATAAGTCAGTGGCGTCGAAGTTGTGCGTGTTGGGCGCAATTCGTCAACAAATCAGTTACTACAACAGTCGGTATCCTGATTCTCTCTAGAACGAGATGTTAACTTTATGGACCTCGGCAATAGGGTGTGTGATACGATGAAAGGGGCTCCCGGTCGGATGCGGCGAGCAAGCGGTGCCACATCTCGGTGGAGCAGCGAGGACAAGCTTAAGCCAATTGGTTGGCATTTTGTCGGTACAGCCAGCACAGACAAGGAGAGAGGACACGAGAGTTCGTCCTCAGCATTTGCTACTGTTGCTGCTGCTGCTGCTGCGCGGCAACGGCAGCTGTCCGGACGACGAAGAGTAAAAACAAAACGTCCACTCAAACGACAACTGGTTGCAATGTGAAGATAAGACTAGCACATACCATAAAACAGATGGAAGCCGTCTTTGAGCTAAATCTCATCGCTACTTGCTGTGAGAAAAACACCACCAAAGCAACAACGAACACGCCCGCATGCAAAACACAAACCCATACTGTACCCTCAGCGTCCTGGGCAAGCCATCTGATGCCTCCACACTATTTTCCAGAAAAAAAAATTCGGTCCGATACTGAACCAAAAGCCTCCACCAACAAATACATCCCCTGTGTCCCCTTCCTCTTGTGTGACCTCGGCTGGTACCTACGTCAGACACATACACCGAAAGGCATGTAGACTGGCGCCGGAGTAGATCGACAGGACGAACACACACACGCGCGAGTTTTCTGTCTTCAAATGCGGCGAAGAGTAGCATAGCCTCCGTCGTGACGCCTACTCACAGGGCCCCAGATCATGTCGCCTTTGTTAGCAGCATTTCGCGTTTTTCAGCCGTACTGAGACTGACGTCTTTTCATTGGCCACCCGGTTAGCGCGTTCAATGCAAACAAAAAAATAACACGCACACATTCCCGTCATTTCTGTTTTCAGCCGCACAGAGACTGAAGTCTCCTCAATGGCCAGCCGGTTAGCTAGCGCGGTCGATGCTAAAACAAAAACACACGCCATCTTCAGCAGGCTGGCTGAGATTTAACGGCGCACCTGCAGGATTCGACACGCCGGCAGCGGAGATTATCTCAGTAGCGGTGTGCACGGTCTTCTGCTGGAACCGCCGCACCCTCTCGGTCTTGGACGGCACGTGCAGGCCGCTCATGAGCTTGGGGTCTTGGGTGGCGATCCCCGTCGGGCAGTGGTTCGTCCCGCACTTCAACGCCTACCATACCATGGTATTCGTTGTACCATGCCGTGGTGTTTGTTGTTTTGAGTCGACAAAAAGTGCGGTGGCGAGAGATATCATACAGAGAGGGGGGGGGAGGAGAGAGAGAGAAACAGAGGGGCAGAGACAGAGACAGAGACACGGATAGAGACGGCAAGCGAGGGAGAGTGTGTGCATGTGGGCGAGAGAGAAATGCCGAGAGAGGGAGGTCGGACGAGGGGGTGAGACAGGCAGAGCGGGGGGAGGGCGGAGGGTGGAAGAGCGAGAGAGGCAAGCCGCCAGACAGGGAGCGCGAGAGAGAAGGAATTCGTAAAAGCGAAAACAGAAAGAGAGGGGGGGGATGCATTTGGACGCCCCACTTGATGCCGGACATATAGGCAAAGCGAGAATTGAGGTGGGGATCTTTAGTGACCATGGCTGCCGTGATACTCAAAAAACTCTCGACATTATTTTAAAAAGCCCAAGACCTTGAAACACGAATTATTCGGATCACACGCCACCACATTTTGCAGAAACGTTGGCAATAGCAGATGCTTCACGAATTAGTGTATATCAAATTCCATAGTAGCCGGGCACTAGCAAACGCGATTGACCCGGGGGGGGGGGGGTGTCCTGCCTACAAACCAAAAAACT